TATTGTAAACGGGAGTTTTATTTAGTATATAGTCAGGGATGTGCAGTATTTAAGATTCATGTATTTCAAATACGCATTATAAATACAAAATAGTATTTTGTAATTTGTATTTTATGGGGCTTATGAAAATGAGATAACATTTGAGATAACAAAATACTTGAGTGTCTTATATTTTTGTATTTTTAAAATAAGTCGACATAATGACATCATAAAAATGTGGCCTTTAATAGTGGTGTTTTCTTAGCTTAGGTTATTTGCCTAAGCTTGTGATCAGACTAGAAAATTGATTAATGATTAATTATGCTATCCATCTCAGATGCAGAAAAGCTAGTCCATGCTTTTATGACTTCGAGGCTGGATTATTGTATTGCTCTATTTGCTGGCTGCCCAGCATCCTCTATTGACAAGCTTCAGTTAGTACAAAATGCAGCAGCCAGAGTTCTGACCAGGTCTAGAAAATATGATCATATCACCCCAATATTATCCTCTTTACACTGGCTGCCTGTTAAGTTTCGTATTGAATTTAAAATATTACTTCTCACCTATAAAGCTCTAAATAATCTAGCTCCAGTTTATCTAACCAACCTTCTGTCTTGCTACAATCCAACTCGCTCTTTAAGATCTCAAAACTCAGGGCTTCTGGTAGTACCTAGAATAGCAAAGTCGAGTAAAGGAGGTCGAGCCTTCTCTTTCATGGCTCCTACACTCTGGAATAGCCTTCCTGATAACGACCAAGGCTCAGACACACTCTGCCAGTTCAAAACTAGATTAAAGACCTATCTGTTTAGTAAGGCATACACTCAATGCATCACTTAGCGGGTTTCCACACAGGCTTCTGCATCTTGCTTATATGCACTATGAACAGCAGCTACGCTAATTATTCTCTTTATTCTCTATTTTCACCTGGGGATACTCATCCCGAGGTCCTCAGATTATGCAGTCACTGATTGGATCCAAGACCAGCGACGAGATGATCCCAAGGTTTCCATATCCGGGACCAGGCCATATCCTGAGCTGCTGCTGCGCTGATGGTCGTGGGGAGTGGAGAACATGTGTCTGATTCCAGCGACGCTCCAGGGACAGACGAGTCTTCGCTCCACCGCGGTGACTGAAGCTCTGCACAAGACTTTTGGCCAGCGGAGAAATTAAAATGGTCGTGCCGAACTAAGTCGGGTTCTCTCAAGGTTTTTTTCTTCTCTCTCCTATCAGGTGAAGTTTTTTTTCCCTCTCCGCTGTCGCCACTGGTTCACATGGTTCAGGATTGGTAGAGCTACGCATCGATGAATTTGCTCTTCAGTGTTTGAACTCTCAGTAATGATTATATCACACTGAACTGAGCTAAACTGAACTGAACTGACCTTAAACACTAAAAACTGAACTACACTGTTCCAGTTATTATGACCATTTATGTGAAGCTGCTTTGACACAATCTACATTGTAAAAGCGCTATACAAATAAAGCTGAATTGAATTGAATTGAATTAATATTGAAGAAGTTGATCAATGAATGAAAATTATGCATTACATATAAATAAAGAAACAGAAAAATAGCAGGTGTATTCTGGAGCAAGGAAACAGAAGACAGGAATAAATGACAAACGGCAACGCAGTGGCGCAGTAGGTTGTGCTGTCGCCTTACAGCAAGAAGGTCGCTGGTTCCAGCCTCGGCCGGGTCAGTTGGCGTTTCTGTGTGGAGTTTGCATGTTCTCCCTGCGTACATGTGGGTTTCCTCCGGGTGCTCCTGTTTCCCCCACAGTCCAAAGACATGTGGTATAGGTGAACTAAATTGTCTGGTGTGAATGAGTGTGTATGGATGTTTCCAAGGGATGGGTTGCAGCTGGAAGGGCATCTGTTGCGTAAAACGTGCTGGATAAGTTGGCGGTTCATTCTGTTGTGGCGACCCTGGATTAATAAAGGGACTAGGCTGAAAATAAAATGAATGAATGAATGAATGAATATATGGAAAAACATAAAAGTCCTTTAGTTGTGATATCTACAAAGCTTTGTTTTTTTCAAAATGCTGATCTGCAGGTGGAGCTTAGTTATTACAAACTTTGACAGTTAATCAGTATGAGACAAAAATATTTAATAACACACCAGTCTACAGACATGGTCAAAAACTTCCAACTCAGGTTTTTTTTTTTTTTTTTTTTTTTTTTAGATATCGTGTTTTACATTGTGTATTGAAGAGCACAATTGCAAAAAAATAAAAAATTAAATACAATTTTTTAAACTAATTTATGGAAATATTTAAAACTGGAGATTTTAGTAGTTTTCAGAAATCGTGATTTACATTGATTATTGACGGTTTCAACTGCAAAAAAAACTAGATTTATTAAACAAATTATGTGAACATAAATGTTAAATAACCTTTTCATATATCACCCTTTTAAAATATGAAACTGAAAATAAGAGATGGTGCCAGTTTCACAATAGATAGACTTATCTATATCATCTTAACTCATTATCTGCATTAAATGGTTTTTACAGAGATTAAAGAGATCTTCTTTAAGACAGGACTTTTTGTCTGAAATTTGTACAAAATCTATACTAAAATTAAAGAGAAACATAAGTTACATTTTTATGAATACCTCCCCATGTACAGTAGTGACTGATCCAGTAGACCTGTTGATGGAAGGTTTGGAAAGAAATGTCATGCTCCCTTGTAAAAGTATTTTGCAGTATTTTCAAAATACAAAAATACAGTATTTTATTTTGAGATATTATGTGGCTGCTGTATTTTGTAGTTTAATTTAAAATGGCGAAATTTGGTATTTTATTTAAAAATACATTTCAATTTTTTTTTCCCATCCTGTATACATATATACGTATATATATAAATAAAAATTAAACTCTGCAGTAAAAAGTATATGAAACATTTTTACAAATAAAAAAAAGTTTTTCATTTTGTGTATGTCTCTGTGCATACACACAATTTTCTTTCTTGTGAATATTGTTCATTTGGGGACATATAAGCTATATGTTGTGTGGGTCTCAGCCAGTTTTGTTATCCTAAATTTAGTCAAAGAAGACTACAGATTTACTGTACACGGGGGCGAATTTAGCGAATTGGGGGACCTAGGCCATGGAGCCCAAGTCCGAATGCAACCTTTCTACTTTTATTTAATTATTTTTTCTTTGGTGTTTTTTTCAAATTTTTTTTTTTTTTTATTACTCAATCTGCATTTCGATGTTTTATGTTAATACAGTATTTACATTTTGAATGATTAGTTCTCTTAAAATGAATTTACAATAATAAAAAAAAACTATACATACAATTGAAGTCAGAATTATTAGCCCAGCCCAGCCTAATTTAACCTAATTCAACCTAATTCTAGCCCCTTCGATTTTTTTTTACTTCTTTTTTAAATCTTTTCCAAATGATGTTTAACAGAGCACGGACATTTTCACAGTATGTCTGATAATAATTTTTCTTCTGGAGAAAGTCTTATTTGTTTTTTTTTCGGGTAGAATAAAAACAGTTTTAAATTTTTATGAACCGTTTTAGGGACCAAATTATTAGCCCCTTTAAGCTATATTTTTCTCGAAAATCTACAGAACAAACCATATTTATACAATAACTTGCCTAATTACCCTAACCTGCCTAGGTAACTTAATTAGCCTAGTTATGCCTTTAAATATCACTTTAAGCTGTATAGAAGTGTTTTGAAAAATATCTAGTCAAATATTATTTACAGTCATGATGGTAAAGATAAAATAAATTAGTTATTAGAAGTTTACATTTACATTTAGTCATTTAGCAGACACTTTTATCCAAAGCGACTTACAAGTGAGGACAAGGAAACAATTTACACAACTATAAGAGCAACAATGAATAAGTACTGTAGGCAAGTTTCAGGTGTGTAAAGTCTAAGAAAAAAAGCATTAGTAAAGAAAGTTTTTTTTTTTTTGAGTACAGTTAGTGGTATAGCCCAAGAGATGCAATTGCAGATTAGGAAGGAAAGTGGAGACTAAATAGTTTAGTTTTTAGTCGTTTCTTGAAAACAGTGAGTGACTCTGCCGTTCTGATGCAGTTAGGGAGTTCATTCCACCAACTGGGCAGATTGAATGCGAGAGTTCGGGAAAATGGTTTCTTCCCTCTTAGGGATGGAACCATGAGGCGACGTTCATTCACTGAACGCAAGTTTTTGGAGGGCACATAAATCTGCAGAAGTGAGAGCAGAATAAAAGGAGCAAAGCCAGAGGTCGCTTTGTGAGCAAACATCAGAGCTTTGAATTTGATGCGAGCAGCAACTGGCAGCCAGTGCAAAGGGGTGAGTAGCGGAGTGACATGTGCTCTTTTAGGTTCATTAAAGACCACTCATGCTGCTGCGTTCTGAAGCAGCTGAAGAGGTTTGATAGAGTTAGCTGGAAGCCCGGCTAGTAGAGAGTTGCAATAATCCAGTCTGGAGAGAACAAGAGCTTGAACAATAAGTTATTAAAATTATTATGTTTAGAAATGTGTTGAAAAAATATTCTCTCTGTTAAACGGCAAGTGGGGAAAAAATAAACAAGCGGTCTAATAATTTAGGGGGGGGGCTAATAATTCTGACTTCAACTATATATATTTGACTATTGTACTGTTCCTTGTGTGAGGTGGTGGATATTTTAATTTATACTATTACATATCACATAACATTACATTATTATAATGAGATTATATTTTAGTGTATATTAAATAACATTTAGTTATGTAAAATATATATAAATGATGTTATATATAGTTTATTCGTATAATTTACTTCTAGATATTTATTGGGGGCCCCCAGATTTCCTGGGGCCCTACGCGGCCGCTTACCTCGCTTATTGGTTAAATCCGCCCCTGACTGTACATACCTGAAAGGGGCTTTGACTATGTTGTCGTGTTGTACTTTACAGTCAGCTGCCCCCAGGTGGCGACAGAGAGCAACGTACTGTTGGATGTAAATGAGACGGCACGTCACCGCATACGTCTCTGTAAACATGGCGGAAGTTCAGAGGCGTCAACGTGGGGAGGAAGAAAGGCGCTGCGTTCGGAATGAAGCAATGTGAGGCGAGGAATGAAGCGGCAGGGATGGCGGACCAGACGCTAACGGTACTCCTTAAACTCTCAGCTGCGGGCTTTTACGGAATCAGCTCGTTCCTCATAGTTGTAGTCAACAAAAGCGTCCTGACTAATTACAGGTAAGAAGACTTTTGGCTAGAGTTAAATACTCGGTGTATTTCAGGAGCTGGACTGGCTTTACATCCAGAGTACTTGGAATAGTTGGCAACTTTAGTGATTACAGCAGTATCAGTGATGCAGAAAGACACATCCGGGTCTGAGTTTTTCCCAAACCAAAATATAAGATGTTATTAGATTGTTTTAAGAGATATATCTTGATAATATAATGTTTATTTTGTAAACTTCAGTTATATCATTGTAATGCAACAATATTACCTGTAAGTTAGACTTTTGAGTGTCTTTTCTGTACTCTACTGTACCTGTATCTAACTGGCATGATGGTCAAAGAAGAAAAGGAGTTCAAAAACAGTTTTTTTGTAATGTGTCTTCCGTTTTTTTTTTTCAAGTAACGTAAGAAATATGAACTCTCATAGATTTTTTAAACACTTAGTAAAATGCAACTTAATGCAACAGTAGCTGATTCATAAACTGTTTTGTAAGAATGATTATCATTTGATTAAGGTGAAGTTTTATATTCACACATTCGTCCAGTTACAACTTGTGACATGCCTCCCTGTGTTGTTGGTACTTTGAAAATTCGGTCTTAAATCACAAATAAATATTACTTCAAAACAACCACAGCACTAGATATTTGACTGTGAACAATATTATACTTTGATAGTCATTAGCTGCTAATATGATTTCACTATTTACATTTTGCTCGGAATACTTTTCTGAAGTTATAATTAAGGAGAAATTCTGAATGTGTAAAATAGAAAACCAAATTTAGCTCAGTTATCATTTGATGTATTTAAAGACTACATTTAAGGATAGCGGTTGAACCAATGCCTTTGAGAAGAATGATTATCATTTTGCTTTTTCTGTGAAGTTACAAGGAATAAGTAATATTTGAATATAAATGGTGTAATAGAAGAGCTTCACAATATGACATGGCAAGTGACATTTGATCTTTGCTGTAACTGAGCAATTTCTGCCTAATGGATGTGACGTTTGCATTAAAAACGTAAACATAAATTTACAAAGAAAGTATCCGTTAACATTATATTGAAACATCAGTTTATATTTTCCAAAACTACTAACCACAGAGTTATGAGATCAGAAACATATCAATCAAACATAAAAAAAACAATCAAAACATTTTAAATTAGGAAACTAAACATACATATTCGATGTGACCAAAAAGTCTACAATTTTACAGTATACGACATACTTTGTAGAAATTCTGTGAACTAAACTGCACAGCCCAAAAGAAAATATGCTAATCAAATGATAAATGTTGATAAGCTATATAATAAAATTGATTGAATTTATTTTGTTTGTTTTTGCATTTCTGAGGAAAATCTCGATTATGGATGTGACCTCTCTCTGTTATAAATGTGACAGATGTAAAATTGGCACTTGTGTGACTTAGGTAAATCAAATATAATTGTTCGAAAACATTGACAGAGACATTCTAGAGTATTTTTACAGTACTGTAAAATACTTCCTTACACAAAAAAACCTAGAAAGGTTTTTTTTGTTATTTTGATGAAAACGATATTTTTTTCATGGCAAGGTTGACATTTGCATGGAATTGCTCAACTATCTTTAAATAAATTATATCTTATAATTAAGGACAGGCAGAAACTGCATTTTTTGCTCTTTCTAGAATATTGTAAAAATTTGCGGATGTATGGGTCTATCGTAACTAAAAACGTATCGTGTATCGTAATATGTTAAATTGTACATTTTTACTTTTTTAATGTTTACAATGCAAATCCTATTAGATCCATTTATTTGGTAAACAAAGCAAATCTCTCATATATTATATCTACCATATATCTACTAAAAGACGAAAATTATTGCTTTGCAAACTGTATTGCAAGTAAATCATATGAACGTTTTCTTATTAGTCAATAACATTACTGAAATTAATAAAAAAACTGAATAAATATATATTTACACATTTATGCTAAATAAATAGACTTAATGACGGGCTGAAAATCTGCAGATGTATGGATGGATGTATGGATTCAGTGCGGGCTCACTTATAACAAACTAAACATGTTTAGTATTGACTAAAGTAAAACACTGATAAAGAATAATAATAAAACCTACACTGCATAAGATGGAATATTTATAATATCAATGAATCAGAAGTAATAACAATGTAAATAATCATTGATACACAATTCTTTTCAAACAGGTTTCCTTCGTCAATATGTGTTGGCATTGGTCAGGTAGGTTTTCTTCTGTCAGAAATAAATATTCTTTTTTTCTTTTCACATTACAGAGCAGAGCATAATATACACTGTTTAATTCCTCATATGCAGATGCTGGCTACAGTAGTTGTGTTAAGGGTAGGAAAAGCCCTCCGGGTGATTACCTTCCCAGAGTTTGATGGTAGCATACCTAGAAAGGTGAGAGGTGCTGGGTCATTGAATGCTGCGTGTTGTCACGTGTTTTCTCACAGGGAATATTGTTAAATTTGGACAGCTATGCACGGCTTTTTTTGTTGACATGGGAAAATGTACTTACATGTGACTGTAAAACAATTCTGCTTTATAAGTGTTGGAATGCCTGCTCAATTTTGATCTATCTTCAAATTTCAGACATTTCCGCTACCTCTTCTTTATGTTGGAAATCAAATAACAGGGCTCTTTGGAACTAAAAGACTCAAGTATGATACTTGTCAGTTAAAAAAATTCATGAGGCTTATTTAATGATATGATATCTAAATAATTTACTTTTCTTTCCTCTAGCCTGCCAATGTTTACAGTATTAAGGAGGTTTTCAATTCTCTTTACAATGCTGGCAGAGGGTTTCTTGTTAAAGTAAGTGAAAGTCTTGTTATTTGATTGATCATGTTTCTTTAAACTTGCATTTGTCAATGTTTATTATGAAGAAAAATATCAGCGACTATGTCTTTTATTACAGGAAGAAGTTCTCCAGGCCAGTTCAGCTGACAGTATTTACTATGATTCTTGGGGCCTTTGTAGCTGCAAGGTAAATGTTTCCAGTGAACCACTGTTGGAGCAGTAGAATTCAGCTTAGTATATTTTAGGGTTTCTGTGAGACTTACAAATGAGGACTTAAATCAGATTTGAAAATCTTAAATTCGTAAACTCATGACATCATTAAGATAGGATCTATTTACTGGAGATTCAAAATAAATAAGTTATTTTACTCCAAGTAGCTGAACAGAAACAAACAAACAAAAACATTTAATTAGATGAAAAGGAAACTTTGCGGTTAATTTCCTTACCTTTAGGCTATCCATGATGTAGACATATTGTTTTGTTCTGTACTATATTTAAGAAGGTTTGGGCTGAAACAGTGGAACTTGGTGATTTGGCCAATGTCTAATTGATACCCATTAAACCTTGACCATATATTGTGTATCTTATGTGGAATAACTAGTCTGTCAAGAAACATTATTTGCAATATATTGACTTTAATCAAGCGTGTTTGTAACTATCTAGTTGTATTTTATGATTTGGTCTGTTTATGTTTTCTTAGTTGAAAAAACTCAGTTGAGATTAATAAGATGACTCATTTATTACTATTTTTGTTTGCTGAATGAATGGAAAAGTAGTGCAGATCATTTTGAAGCAGTATTTTTTCTTTGTATTTACCTTATATATTTACATTCATAGAGCATACAGACATGGACATTTACCTAAAAAAAAAAAAAAAGTTCACAGAAACCCTGTTTTTCACTCTGCTTTTTAAATGTGTGCTTATTATTTACTTCTTTACAGAGGACTCCTTGTTTGCAAAGACTGAATTGCAACACAGAAATGAATTTTACATCCCAATGTTACTTACCAAGTCTGAAAACGCCAATCATGTCTGCACATATTTTTTTTTAACATTGTTTGATGACTCCTGTTTTCTTTTTCAGTGCTGATTTGGCTTTTGATCTGCAAGGGTACGTGTTCATTTTAATGAACGATGTCTTAACTGCTGCCAATGGAGCTTTTGTGAAGCAGAAACTTGACTCTAAGGTAAGAAAAGCAACACATTCATGCTAGAGATTACTTCAAGACCGCGAAAGCTCTCTTAAGCAGCAGCTGTTCTCTGTAGTCTCTAATTGTGATGTGCTGTATTGCCATGCTTGCAAAAGATGAAACAACTTCTCTTGCATTGCGATTTCTGAATTATCTAGTTTTAACCATATCATTTATGTTCTACTTTGTTTATTATCCTTAAATAGTATGCTGTATGAATGTTCTTTTACTTTTGCGTTATTTTGATCATAGTTTTTTAAGACAGTCTATGCTGGCATCTGTTTTTAAGCTGGCATTCACCATATGACAAAGGAATTAGGATGCATTTTGTCCTTGTTTTTTAAGTATTACGCCTATTTCTCTTGTTATCTTAAGTGTAATCCTATTTGCAACTGACCTGCAACACATTTATGTTAAGAATTGATTGTTGGTTTTGTTCTCATCATACAATTTTTTTTTTCTTTTACTTTTTTCTAATTTGAGCTGGAAGTTCATGTATGCATGCTCTAAATTTTCCTCTCTATTTCTGGATTAAGTTTATATGAATGTGCTTGAATTTAAAGAAACTGGGTATTGGCAACATGTGGTGTTTGTTGCATTACCCTGCTTATTAGGAAATCATGTGTGTTCTATTTGAAACATACAGATGAGGAAACGACAGTTATCAATGAAGAATGTGTAAAGCATAAACTTAGGTAGAGCACTGTCAATTTGAATAATGAAGTCAAAGTTTTACAACCGGTTAAAGCTTATGCTTCCTCCTGAAAAAAGACTTTTACCCTACGGCTATATGCCTAACATCTGTTTCTCTGTTACGTAGAGGGTGACGAGGAAACCATGACGTGGCATTACTGTACCTGATTTGTCTGTCCTGTTTTTTTTTTTTTTTTTCTTTCAATCTTGTAGGAGCTTGGAAAGTATGGCCTGCTCTACTACAACGCTTTATTTATGATACTTCCAACTCTGCTTTTAGCACACGTCACAGGAGACATGGATAAGGTAGGCATTTTTAAAAATTCTCCCAGTATGTGTGAAAGACAGCAGTGGTCTCGCCAAAAAAATCAAAGGGGAGCTGATAATTCTGACTTCAATTACATATAAAATGTGTGTTTGTGTTTACACAATACATATGTATGTGTATATGTGTCCTTGAACTAGTTATGCACACACCAGGTAATTCAGTAAAGCTCAGTTATATATAATAGTCTACATACCAGTCCTTAAATAACCCCAGGATTCCAGGCACTCCTAAGACCTCATCTCTCAACAAGGCTTCATATCGGTAGATGATCTGGCAACTATGAGCAAACCATCTGCTCAGCTGCAGTGAGCTCAAATTGCCAGTGAACACACACGCGCACACACACCCCATTAGCCGATTGGAACGACAGTCATAAATTCACCAGAAATCATAGCAAGCTGACTGACATAAATTTCAGCTTGTCTGTTTCTGCCTGAGCGCTTCTCCCTTGAGAAAATCAGTGCAGTTCCTTGATCAAAACGTGTGCTACGTCCTGGATTTTCTGACCATGCAGTGTGAGCACAAGGCTCAGTTGTTGGGGAAGGTTAGGATGACAGGGCCCTGCTCCATGAATGCCTCATTTTATTTAGCTCAGTGTGTTCACAGGGAGGCCCTGGTTTATTTGGCAGGCACTGCTTCAGGAAGGAGAGTGGACAGGAGGCAGTGTGTCTCGCGCACAAAGCTGCCATTTATACCAGTCAGCATAACTAGCAGATTGAGTTTTGTAGCTTATAGTGTTGTTCTTTAGGTGTGTTCATCTTAGACGAGGTCTTTTTTTATTGATAGGCTGAGTGGAATTAAAAAAAAATACATTTTTGTGGTTTTTACTTTAATGACTTGGAAGAATGTGAATGATGTGGAATGTATGAAATGTTACCAGAGCTAAGACTTGAGCTAGATATTTTCTTACAAACAACTCCATAGCTCTAAAATGTAATGATTAACTAAGGTAATTGCTTTGTTTTTGTTTTTTTCCTTTAGGCCTTTGATTATGATGGCTGGTCCGATGTTTTGTTTATAAGTCAATTCTTTCTCTCTTGTATAATGGGGTAAGTATAATATATTTTGTCAAATAAATACTGGTTGTGTCAAAGTTAATGTGTTGAAGTGGGGTTTAAATGTTAGTGGTTTGTAATTTTTAGTAGTTTGTGAAAATATTTTTCTTACAGATGTCAGTTAATGGCCATAAAGAGTGATCGAATTAGTCTTTTATTGTTTTATTGGGGAAGTACTTGGAGCTTTCCATTAGGCTATATACTTTACCTGAATGACTGACTAATTGTTAACAAGCTTATAAATGTTCATGATTTACATGTTTCTCTTGTGTAATGATACAAAGGAAAATGTGTCATGGCGTTTATCATCATTCAGCTTTTTCTTTTTTTTTGCTTTCACACTCTAGTTATTTAAATGGGATGTTACTCTGTGCATTTAGGAGTATTCGGTAACACTTTATAATAACTACACACTATGAATCATTACTACATTAATAAATGTTAGTAATGTAATGTGTATTTATATAGAGCATTTATTGTGTATGGTCATACACCCAAAGCGCTTAACAATCCTGAGGGGGGGTCACTCCACACCACCCCTCAGTGTGCAGCATCCACTTGGATGATGCGACGGCAGTCACAGGACAACGGCGCCAGTGCGCTAACCACAAACCAGCTATAGGTGGAGTGGAGAGACGGTGATAGAGCCAATTCGGTGGATAGGGATGATTGGAAGGCCATGATTGGAAGGGCCGAAAGAGGGACTTTGGCCAGGACACCGGGGTTGCACCCCTGCTCTTTCACGAGAAGTGCCATGGAATTTTTAATGACCACAGAGAGTCAGGACCTCGGTTTAACAACTCATCCGAAAGACGGCGCCCACTGACAGTGTAGTGTCCCCTTCACTTTTACTGGGGCATTAGGACTCACGCAGACCACAGGTTGAGTGCCATCTGCTGGCCTCACTAATACCACTTCCAACAGCAACCTAGTTTTCCCAAGTGGTCTCCCATCCAGGTACTGACCAGGCTCAGCCCTGCTTAACTTCAGTGAGTAACCGGTCTTGGGCTGCAGGGTGATATTGCTGTGACAGTTGGTTAGTAAACAGTTTATAGCTGCAGATACAAATTCTTTATTCCTAACTTGCAACCACATTTATAATGTGCTTAATAATTGTACTTTCATACTTTGTTAATTTATTTTTCATCACTAAATGAAGTATTGCGTTACTCAACTTCATGCAGTTTTGTGACCTAATCTAAAGTGAGGACTATTTATGCTTTCTAAATCCCTTATAAAGGACAATGAAAGGCTCAGTATCAAATGAACAATAAGCTTTGTAATCTAATCTAAAAAGTAAAATTACTGTGCAGTTTAAACATTGCTGAATGACAATAGTTTCAAAATATGACATCAAATTAGATAAAACAACAATATAACAGTTTAACTATATAATAAGATACAATGTTTAAACTCCAGAGTAATATTATTTTTTATAAGGTTGCAAAGATTTGTTTTTCATTTGAAGTACAGTATCAGTTGTGTTTCTCTTAAAATGAATAATGTTGTTTATGTCCTTTTTTCCTCTTTAGAATTTAACTGAGCCTTCAATTGTCATTTTTAAGGGATTTATAAAGCATAAATATTCCTCACTTTAGATTAGGTCACAAAACTGGATGAAGTTGAGTTAATAAAGAATTTATTAGCATACAAATTAACTATTAGTATATGCCTGAATGATAAGAATTATAAATGCTAATTTTAATAGTTTGTTAATCAATTACTAACTCATTCTGATTGATCCTAAAAAACATCCAACTACTCTTAAATAACTGGTTTGTAAATAATGCAATACTTAATTTAGTAATGAAAAATAAATTATTAACAAGATATGAAAGTACAAGTATTTAGCACATTATAAATGTGGTTATAGGTCTAGAAAAGAGCATTTGTAGCTGCAGTTCTAAACTGTTTACTAACGTTTATTAATGTAGAGTTAATGCTTACCAAATAATGAATTTATTAATTGCTAATGCTTAAAAAATGCTTCATAGTGTGTAGTTATTATAAAGTGTTACCGAGTATTCTTGTGTTGGCAGATTGTCCCACACAAATTCACTGTGCTGACCAACAGAAGACTTGCAATTGTTCTGTTTGAGCCATGCTTCATACATTATGCCAGTAAACCATTTGACAACCTTAGCTTTTTTTATATTGTTGAGTATTTGCTTTAAATTAATTGTATATTTTGTTTTGTACAATCACAGGTTTATTTTGATGTACTCCACTGTACTTTGCACACAGTATAATTCTGCGCTTACTACTACCATTGTCGGTTGCTTAAAAGTAAGTATCTCTTATTCTTCAAGTATGTCTTTATCCTGTCTTTTGTTGTATTAATGATTTTTTTCTGTCTGCAGAATATATTAGTGACATATATTGGAATGGTGTTTGGAGGGGATTACATTTTCTCATGGACTAACTTCATTGGTCTAAACATCAGGTATGAATGGAGCTTTTCACAAAATGAAACCTAGGGTTGGGCATTATGGATATTTAAGCAGTATCAATTTTATGGATTTCATTTTGTTGTTTTAAAAGTTGCAAAACCGTTTGGTTAAACAAGATCCCTTTGCAAATGCACTATGCATTGATAATAAGCAGTTTTATTAACAGTAAAAGCTTTTAACAAAACCGTCACCATCATCTCCTCTTTTGATGGCAGGAGTATACGTCTTCAAAATTACAACAAGAACATTTTAACTGAATTTGCAGAATTGTTTTTAAAAAAAAATGTTTTATTTAATTACATTTTTTATTTCTGCCTTAATTGAAAAAGTACTATCCAATCAGATAACCTTGCTCTTCAAATGGCTCCCAAGTGATTATATGCTTCACTGCAGCTGCTTCTAGACTTTCAATTGATCTGTCTGTCTGTTTTCATTAGATCGTCACCATCTTTATCTGTTTTTAAATCCAAGTTATATCTGAATACTTGTATTGGGGGCGTATCTTGTATTTTTATATCCCAATGTTTACGGGTGTAGTTTAATCACTTGCTTCTCTGACACGCATAGCCTACTCTAACGAGCAGTAAGCAGATCTCATTTCTAATTTAAATATGTCGATCTAAATAGTATATTTAAAATACAAGTTAACGTTTTGATTTCATAGATATACAAATAAGTCATGTATCCATGCAACATATATTTCCAAATTTATCAGAGTTTTATATGAATTTTGACATGCGGTATAACCTATATTTATGAGGTCCAAGAAACATTAGCGGGTTTTGCTACTTTATGATAATAATTTACATTTTAAGTACAGCAGTTTTCTATTAACTTTTTTAAAAACAGTGCCATTTTTTTTAATAACTTTTAAAATCACAATTTAATTTAAACGTTGACGTTTTATTTATCTTTTTTTTTTTTTTACCTGTTTGTTATTGTTCAAACTATTTATTATGTTTAAAGTGGCTGACAATAATAAATATTCATAATAAAAAGAATTAAACTGCCACGTTCGTGATCTGTGCAGAGCTGTAGCCGCCTAATTAGGCCCACTATGTATTTCAATACCAGTCATTATGATGGTATCTGGAGAGACAATCTTTTTCTGAGCTGGTACTTGGTGAAAAAAGTTTGTGAAACACTGTTTTAGAATATGTAAGCGTTTAAAATGGGTCATCAGTTTTGATGGCATCACTTTACACTTCATCTTATCATCAGAACTTCAGGCCAATTAAATTCTTTCTGGAATGGGGAAGCCTCTCTATACACGATAGCAATTTTAAGGAATTACTGATCTCATTAGCTCACGTTTACTATAGTATGTATGGTGATTGGCATATATAGTGTACTTTGGGGACAGGATGTGTAAATAAGCTTTCAGTTGGGTTGAATGAAAAATGGCCCATGACACAACAGCATATTGTGGATTATGTGCAAAAGTCATTGCAGAGTGCAGACACCACAAATCTGAATCTTACAACTGTTTTCAACATGATGGAAAAGATTAAACATCCTCTGCATTATCAATAACACTGATATGAAGGAATACATAAGCAGATATTATAATTTCACACAGATTTAATGAAAATTAAAGTTTCCCTGTGACAACAGTTCCATGGTTAATATAAAAATTGAAATGATATTAGACATCATTTATAATGTAACTGTGGCTATGTAGCTGTGCTAGACTGTGACCAACAAAGTGCGATTGTGATTTTGCTAATTTCAGCTTGGTGCAAGAGTCGTTTCGAGGTGTTGCGCTACGCTTTTTAAATAGCAAATGCATTAGCGCTCATATGTGCCCCCATAGGCGTTCTTGTCTAAAAAGTAAGGCCTTCTGATGCGCACTGCTGGCGCGTTGCTATTTTGAGAAACTATAATAGATTTTTCAATAGACCAAAACAAACCCGGTCTAAACTCTGGCGCAAAGTTGCGCCTCGCTTACACACTGCTTAAATACGCACAAGAGAGCAACAGGCAAATATCTTTACATATGAAAAAATGTAAATATTAAGGATATATATAGTATATAATAAGAATATATATAGGATATAAATATAAAGGATTAAAATATTACAAAACATATTATTTTGTAGCCTACATAAATATGAAAAATCACTGCTTTTATGTCTTCATCTCGGGAGGCTTTTTCAGTTCATGCATAACAATTTGCTTTTGTATAATGTTATTAATATTAGCAGTATTATTTAATATATCCATATTTATATTTGTTTTATTAAATACAAGCTTAGATTTGCCCACCTGTCAGGTTTTAGACCATATGGGGCACAGCATGTGTTTTAGGATATAACTCATGTTTTTGAGCACATTTGTTATTATTATTCATTTATTCGTTTGCTGGAAATTAGAACTGAATTTAGAAATAGTTTTGAAACGAATATTTGCGCTTAACAAACGCAATTTATTATTTATAAACTAATTGATGTCTGTGCGTAAAGGTTTCCCTATCCAAAAGTGAAAGTAGTTCCATTATCTCTCATTCTCATGCAGTAGATGCTCTGTTTAACAGTTTTCTGTTAAAAAACTGTTAACTGTTTGCTAGTGAAATGCTCAGTTTTTCCACTTAGACTTACTTTGCGTCCTGTAAATAGTGAATGCGCTTATGGCGCGACGCAGCTGACTCTTAAAGGGAATGGGAGATGAGACTCCTAATTGGTTTATTCTCAAAACACACCTATAACTCATTAAGAAAATAAACTCAACCCTTTTAGACCATGCGCCACGGCACAAAGCGGATTTTCCCGTCCTTAAATTAGCAAAAATGCGTTCTGACACACCCTGAAAGCGTTTGCGCCCTGCATTTTGCGCTCTGCGCATGGACCGTCAAAATAGAGCCCAAGATGTTCTGCCCTCTTTGCTTTTGTTAGTTTTTTTTTTTTTGTTTGTTTTTGAATATTACAAAACTTTATAATAATTTAAACAAGATCATAACAAAACATCACATTTTGATTAACCATTATCTATCTATCTATCTATCTATCTATCTATCTATATATATATATATATATATATATATATATATATATATATATATATATATATATATATATATATATATATATATATATATATATATAATCCCCCAGTGCTAAAGAAACCCATTCTTGAGTTGTCTGAATGTAACATAACACTAGTGATTTGATCTGCTGTATTTGTCTTTTCAGTATTGCTGGCAGTCTGGTGTATTCCTACATTACCTTCACCGAGGAGCAGATCACCAAACAGAGCGAGAACACCAACAAACTAGAAGTCAAAGGAAAAGTGGCTGTATGACCAATGGATGGAGGCTCCATTGTGATGCACAAGACTGTATCTGTGAGTTTTTGTATTTCTTGCAAGAGCAAGCAAGCAGAAATCCCTCCCTGGATTTTTTTATTTCAATTTTAATGATATGAAGACAATATTGACTGTAAAAACTGCAGCAGGTACAAGCAGGACATTGACCAAGCTTCAAACATACTGGAATGTGCTTTTCCAGTGCAAATATTTACCTATTTCTCACTACTCTGAGGAAACGGTGTCTGCATTACAAATGAAGAGTTTGTGTCCCCTGATGAACTGCTTTCACTGGATTGTTGGACACAATTGTTGTTGTTGTTTATGTTGAAACACCTGTCGTGTTGCCTATTGAAGAGTACTTTTAAAGTTGTCTTTTTTTAGTTAGTAAAGTTATTTATTTTTTATGAAAGTTCATATTATTGTTAGGTATGTAAATTAGGTTTTATTTACTGGTAATGTTTAATCTACAGAAAGGGAGTTAACATTGTTTTAATGGTTAATATTAGGAGTGTGTAAAATAAGGTACGCATGTGAAACTTGAGTATTTTTAATAACAAGCTTTAAAGAAGAACAATATTTTAAGCATTCTCAGTGTTACATTGTTCAACTGAAGAAATTTGTATAAATGCTTTTATACTTTTTTTTTTGTATTCGAGATTGTAATGCAGTAACTATTTGTTTTATACTGATGGAATCATTGTTTATTATAAAGGCAAATGGTGTAGTGATTGCACTTTAACAGGTTTTGTCAGTGATTTCTAAGTGGAACATTTCAGTATTTTGTTAAACAAATTAAGAATGGGGTATGATATTGGTGTTTTTGACCAATACAAATGGCTCAGTATTGCTTGTGCTGGACATCCGAATGCATTCTGCAGTTACCGAATGTCTTGTCGTTCATGTTGCCACTTTTCTTGAACACCGTGTTTGTACATTTGCTTAGAGATTCCGATTTTATGGATGTGCTTTATTTCTCAGCACTGCCATGATCAAAGACACTGTTGCTTCAGATGGGTTTTATATGTTCAGCTTTCACTTTTTATGTTTTTGTTCAGTTTAGTGAAAGAAACGTGTCTGTCAAATTTGTTCACATTCTCGGTGACTGTATCAGCAAGAATTGGGAAATGTATAACATTTAAAATACCTCAGCACAAAGAGTCTGTACTTTTTCATTTTCTTTTGTTAACCAAAATATAATGCTTTGATTTGTTTATTTGTTATTATTGTTTGCATTGTTTTGTTTCTCTGGAACTGTATTGTGTAGTACTTTCTCTACAGTTGTTTGAATAACATAAAAGCACATGGATTGATTAACAAATTTGATTGGAACAATTGATTTGAGCAAGTTATCTGCCAAACAAAGCATTATTTTACATTTATACATTTGGATATGCTAACAAAAACCTCTATCTATGCCTGTCATCATTCCCTTCATTCTTGCAGGACATCTATCTTCCTACACAGTTATGGTCGGTTTCCACTGAGTAGTACGATATGGATCATCTTTATCATGCTTGCGTTCCACTGCCAAAAGAGTGTCAATGGTACCCTGACATGGTGTACGACAGAAAGTTTCAGTCGATGTCATTCTCGCTCGAGGAAATGTCAAAGTAAAGCTGTACAGGTTGTTCACATATCATACAAGAGGCACTCTCAAAACAAATGCTGTATACACAAATACTTGCGTATAAATGTTTATTACTACCCTTTCTATGAACATTTGATTATAACTGCAGATCAATTATATGCAAAATAGCCTTCTGTAATGTCTGCCATTATTCATTCATTTATTTTCTTGTCGGCTTAGTCCCTTTATTAATCCGGGGTCGCCACAGTGGAATGTACCGCCAACTTATCCAGCAAGTTTTTACGCAGCGGATGCCCTTCCAGCCGCAACCCATCTCTGGGAAAATGTCTGCAATTATATCAAATAAATAAAAAAATGCAACATATATGAACACATACAAACCCCCTTACAGGCTCTGATAGGTTACCAAATACAGAAAAACTTCACCAGCATACATTTAGTCCATATTTGGGTTCATGAACAACATGCAACAAATATCCTACTACCAGGGTTATGGTCTTCAGAATTATTTCAGCAACCTGTGGGAAGGAGATCAGGACCCAATCTGACTGAGAGTCACAACTGACCTTCAGTGAGAGCGTAAGAGTGCCTTGACCTGCTCAAAGTCTCTGTGAGAGAGAAGCTGCTCCATCTTTAGTCGTTCCTAGATATAGTGTGATGAGACAAATCTTCAAAGTCAAACCATTTAGCACTGTCCAGAACCTCAAGAAAGCCCCATGTGTTGTACTGAGGTGTGCTTTTGACTTTGAGAGGTATTTTCTTTTTCCTAATCTCATGTTAAGTGTAGCAGAGGAAACAGGAACTTTGAGTATTTCAACTGAGGGTTCTGTAAGAGTTCTAGTTGTGAATGGATTTTCAAACTTTAGTGGACCTGCACCAAACAAACTGTTGATTGTTGATTCACTGTGCATTAATATAAATCTAAATACTGATAGTAAACAACATAGAACAGCAATGATGACTAGTTAGTGTACCTGAAAGTGTATTAATGAGTAAAAACTAAATAAAAATGGCTAGCATGCTTTTGTGAAGTCCAAAGATAGACAGAGAGTGTGGAAAACCTAAATATATACGTTAACCCTGCTGGATCATGTCGGACATGATTTTTAAATCACATTTCATCTTTAATAAAATAAATTTGTTCTTTCTTTGATTCGTTACTCCATTCTTCAGTAGCCACACCACACGATCCTGCCAGTAGATGGAGGAATAGGTTTGCTTACCGCCATAGCCGAAAGAAGAAGAAGAATAACGTAAACAAATATGGCTGAGGTAAGATAAACGAAACAGTTCGTAGCAAATAGCGGTCTTAAGAGGTCAGCACAACCTTTCAGTCAGTCAGTTTGATTAAACGAAGACGTTTGCGATTTTGCAGCTGTTTTATTTACTGAGTGCCAAACATAATTATGTAACGTTATATGTGTAATTAGTCACAAACACTGCATTTAATAAACCCTGTTATTTTGAGTCACAGTTTTAGCACTGTGACATGTCATGTTAACCAGCTTTGCATTCAACTGTAAATGAAAATTTATAATCAGGCAATGTGTGGGTTTTTGAGGACTTTTTTTTACTAGGGGTTAAAATGTCTTATTCTCTATTTCTTATTCTGCTTTCAGCCATCATTATGTGATTCAGTCTCAGGTAAATATTTCAGTTAATATTTAATATATTACTAGCAGAAACAAAATAGTTGCAGGATACAACAGCCCATTGACAAAACTTATTTTATATAAAGTTTATATATGTTTTATAAATATCTTATTTGATGTTTTAAATACTATCTGTAAAATTAAGATGTCAATATCTAAAATAATGCTTCATTATTAATAAAATCATTTGTAAAAATCTATACTTATTATTAAATGTATTTCATTATATTTCAAATAAACAATCATCTTGCTGACAAACAACTGAAATTTTGTGATTTGAGGTAAAGGGGAAAATTGTAAATATAAATGTAATTCTGGGGCTGCACTGTTATCCTAAAATATTTTATTAAATGATTCCTGTTTCGAGTATGACTGACATGTTTTTAAGTTCTTTTTACACACAGGCATGGGCAGTATTTCTGATACATGTATTTCAAATACAAAATAGTATTTTGTACATTATATTTGATAGGGTTGATTAAAACGGCTTTATATTTTGTATCAAAATACTATAGTCTTGTTTTTTGTAGTCAAAGTACTTTGCAAGAAGTCATGCTGACATCTTAAAAATGATGCTTCTGATTGGTGCTTTCTTGTTATTTGCCTTGAGATTAGAACAAAAAAAATTATTTTTTAAAAAGTTGGTGAATGCTTGGATGAATGAAAATTATGTGTAAAGAAAGTAACAGACAAAGGGTGAGGGTATTTTCAGGAGCAAGTCAACAACCATTGAAAATAGCTACTGAGCAATGTTAAGACCCGAAATATATAATCGTCACCTTAGAATTATAAGGTTCTATCTGACATTTTTGTCAAAAGTGAGGTATTGACATATTCTTATTAAATGACAACTTATTTACATTTTGGGATTTTTTTTTACAAGTTGTTTACATTTCAGGACTTTTTTATTTAAAAAACAAATGTTACACGCATACTGTTTGCTATGGAATGCAAAAACTTTGTAGCTTAATATCTCAAAATCATTCAGAACGCAGATAGAACCTTATAATTCCAAGATGACGTAATGGCTACTCACCTTACTCTCTGTGTATGAGCAGACGCAGAATTTGAATCTTTTTATCTCGAGACTTCTGGTCTCATTCACTTCCATTCTGCTTGATGTTGCAAACTGATATTTTCTTATTATATGATTCTGCTTTGTCTGTATAATCATGCAAACATTTGTTTGTAGAGCAAGCAGTTTGACCATTTTCTGCGGTTTATTATTTCTAGTCATTTCTCCCATAGGCAGCTGAATCAGAAGTTCTAAAACAATAGCAAAAACGAGCGCACTTCCGCATTGTAGAATAAGGTCAATAGTGTAAAAAAAAAAAAGAGATGGAATATGGATGATGCCACATAATGCGTGAAAACGTAATCAACATGACAATGTTGATACTCAACTTCAACTCTGAAATCTGGCTTATTCTGTTAAGGTGCTTTGACACAATCTACATTGTGAAAGCCCTATATTAAGGGTAATTCTTTAACTATGAGCACTTTTATGTCCTTTGATCATATGTCCAATAATACATATACTTTGGATCAAATTTCTCTTTTTTTGTCAAACTAGCAATAAAACCTACTTCAAAAGAATTTACCAGCTTTCTATTTTATATTTTTTCATATTATTTAACCTCCTTTTAGGTGTCACAATCACTGTTTTCACCTTGTCACACACCCAGAGTTTTAAACTTCAACAATGAAAGTAACATTTTAAAATATTATTTATCTGGTATCAATTTATGTATCCTAATGAAGCACTAGTGAAATAATTAAATAATATCTCGTTATTAATATGAGACTATTATCAATATTATTTTTATATAAAATATAGCTGTCGCACAGTATCAGTGTCATTTCCACCACAACACTG